TACATTTGGCAACAAGCTCTTCTTCGAGCATCATGGGGGGGGCTGCCGCCCCCCCCAACCCCCCCGCTACTGAGTACATTTGGCAACAAGCTTTAACTGCGCCTCTACTCGAATCATCACTTCGAACATCCGCCCGCCCTCTTTGAATCCCCCCCGGATGTTTTTTTAGATTTGTTGCAGGGATTGACCGCAGCTCCCCGCTACTTGGTACATTTGCCACCAAGATTTAGATGCGCCCCTACTCGAATCATCACTTCGAACACCTCTTTGAATCATCACTCCTTGATGTTCCACCTAGGTTGCATTGCACGCCTATTTGAATCATCACTTCTTCGAGCATCATGGGGGGGGGCGGCCCCCCCAACCCCCCCGCTACTTAGGACATTTGGCAACAAGCTCTTCTTCGAGCATCATGGGGGGGCGGCAGACCGGCAGACCCCCCCAACCCCCCCGCTACTGAGTACATTTGGCAACAAGCTTTAACTGCGCCTCTACTCGAATCATCACTTCGAACATCCGCCCGCCCTCTTTGAAATCATCACTCCTTACCTTTTGAACATCATAGGGGGGCTCCGCCCGCACTTTTGATGAATTTTTTGTAAGCGACGATTTCGTTGCAACCTGCTCAATGTGGAACATAGATTTAGCTGCACAGCATTGCTCAAGTGTGGGGGGGGGGTGGGGTGGTGTGTTTGGTGGTACACCCCCCCCAAAGTTGCGCGGGGGGGGGGGGGGGTGGTGCAAACCCACCCCTTGCTGTGCAGGGGGGCGGGGGGGTGGTGGTGGACCTCCCCCGCCTGAGGGTGGGGGGGCTTGCTGTGCGGGGGGGGGGGGTGGTGGTGGACCCCGCCCCCCTTCTTTAAGGTGAGGGGGGGTTGCTGCGTAAGGGGGGGGGGGGGTCCCTTCAAGAGGGTGAGGGGGGGGGGGGGGGTGGTGGTGCGGGACAGACCTGAAAAAGTCCAGCGCCACATCTGCGGGCACTATCGAACATGTTGCTTTCTGTGATGCCAAAGTAGGCCATCCCGATAACGTTCAAAGCAATGTAGAGTCAAGGGTTCTTGAGATATGGTTTTGTGACAGGTATATTAGGTACAAGTGGTGTACACAGACCTCCAGGACCTACACCTGAGGCTCAGATTCTAGGATGCCTTGCTTTCAGTGGAGTTTCCTTGCATCACAGCAATGGGCAAGCACCTGCTGTCCATTTTCCAATGCTTCAGATCGATTGTCGCGGCCACATTTCCCATCGCCTCCCCGGTCTCCCACTCAGAGAGCCGCTGCAGTCGGTCTCTTCGTCACTTTGGGCGAAGTATGGGTCCTCGGCCAGGGCTTGACATGCGTTCTTGTTCGGGAAGGTGAAACTAACGAGGCTCCAAATTCTTGGTCTATGCAATCCCTCTCTTCTTTCTCTTGTTTGTCTGTCTGACTTCGTGTTTGGGTCAAGGGCTGACTTCGTGATCAATTTGGAGCGCTGTCCATTTGCGCTGTCCATTTGCGCTGTCCATTTGGGCGTGATCAATCGCCAATTTCATCTTTGGAGAGGGGCATGATCTTTATTGGTCAAAGAGAACGGGGCCTCGAAATTTCATATAACTGCCAGCGGCCAAAATATCCAAGGCTTCTTGAAGTGGGCATTACTGCACGGCCGCTTGCTTGATGGAAGAAACGAACTCGAACAAGAGCCTGTCAAGAAGAAACGACGCATCCTCATTCGCTTATGAACCAAAGCAAGGGTGTTCGTAATCTGCCTGCTCTTGGTAGGAAATTGGAATTCCTCCTGGCCAAACACACGCTAGGCTCTGTGACAGGAATGAATTGCCGGAGTCATTCCCACATTCTCCAGCTACCATTTCACCTCCCCGGGGCCCCGGGCTCAACGCACGATCACAGCGACCCAAAAGCTTTCCCAAACCAGGCCAGCGCGTTCCATGCAAACCCACCCAGGGCCTAGGTTTGAGTCTGGCATATCTCCAGAACAAAAGGTAGGGGGACGGTACACTCTTCGGAACAATCTGAAAGTCTGAGCAAAGACCCCACCAACCCCACCCCCCGGTCCTCCTGCAAGGGGACCTTGCGATAGCCATGGTCCAGCGGCGACACCATCCGCGATCAGGCGGCATGGGGCTAACCCTCTGAGCCCATCGCCCGCTGCCATTTCGGGTCGAGAGGTCAAGCTCCACAGACACCCAAACAAGAACCAGGGATTCAACCCCTCAAGCCCATGCACCCCACCAATGGCTGCGCAAGGCTGCCCATGGCGCTTGGAAGCTTCAAGAAGACACAGGAACTGTCAACCAAGCTGGACCCGGCATCATGTGGAACAAGGCTCCTTGCGATGCCAAGGTGGGATCGCCACCCCCATGACTATGGCGGTTCCACTTGTCCATTTCCGAATTCAAGTGGGGCTTCCGGCGACTGCTTAGCGGCGCAACGGTTTGCGACAGAATTCCCTGCGGGGCGCCAAAGGGCAGTAAGGACACGCCACCCAAAACTGCCTCCCCTCGGCACGCTTGGGAGGTTGGGGGAGTCCTCAGCAAGGGTCAAGTCCCCTCCCAGCAATCACCGGAAAAACAAATGTGAGCGGTACCAGCGCAACAAAGCATTTTGCGACAACCAATTCCCAGCACCAAGGCGCCCCTCCGCCACGTCCTCCCGAGGCAGCGGATTCCTGTCCAGCCATTCCTCGCCAGCGTGTCTATGGGCCGGCTCGAACACAAACCAGTTCGAGCAGCTGGACAGTTGCCAAGGATAGATCTTTGGCAGGTGCTAGGCACACAACTTGATTAAAGCGTACAGGAGAGTCATTGCCTCACAAACCCACAAAAGGCGGCGTCTTCTTTGAATTGGTGCCGTTTCAGGGCTTGTTTCACCAAAGGGAACCCAACCACAAACCACCCAATTCTTGGGTGGCCTCCCACGTCTTAACTTAAGACACGCATTCCTAAGCTCGAGGTTGAAGGGAGACGAATACAGTTTCCGAGTTTGATCAAGTGTAAGAAGAGAGTCAAAATGCGGCCTGGTCCAAACAGTTACGCACTTCCCCTTCAGCTTCCTTGCAGGGTGTGCCCTTTTCCACCTTTGGAACACCATGGGGCTCCCAAACAGCGAACTCCAGCCAATCCAAACCCAAACCAAACACCCAAACCAACCCAAGCCAAACCCAAACACCTGAGTCACCTCTTCCCTCCCTTATGGGCCTTACCCCACCCGCGCGCACCGCGCCCCCCCCCTCCCCCCCGGGCCCGGGGCCTCGAGGCGCGGCAGCAGCGCGTCGCGCTCCTGCAGCACCACGGCCTCGTAGACCGCGCAGAAGTCCTCGAGGCTCCGTCGGCTCGGGGCGCGAGGCGCGAGGCGAGGCGGCTCGGGGCGAGGGCCGGGGTCCCAAAGCCAACGTGAGGCGATGACGGGCGTGAACTGGTGCCCCCATTTCTTGGCGCATCAAAGCTGCTCGGCGTTTCACCGTTTCTGATTTTACGGCGTTTCTGATGTTGATGTTCGCGTACTTTACCCCCAAAAACACTTGTTGAGTTTGCGTAACTCGCTACCACAAACATGAGCCTGTGGGCCTTGAGGCCAACCCATCCATGCATTGCTCAAGGTGGGCACAAGCATGGGGCGGCTTGGCGCCTCCATGGCGAGATGCACGTCACAAAGGCGCCCCCCCTCAAACCATACGCAGGCCTCACCATAATCCCCACTGAATCCGGCAGCAAAAACTTCCGCATGGCCAAACAGCCGTGCTGGGCGCTGGCAAATGGCAAGTGCCATCTGAGGGGTCGACTGCAAATGGCCGCGGCCGCCTTTCAAACACCAACAAAATGGCTCCCGATGTCAAGTGTGAAAGCTCGTCAGGGTTTCACAAAGAGAGCCAACATGCAACCGGCCGCCCGAGAAGGCAGCGGCAAGTTTTGAGCCGAAGGCACGTGGAAGTCCAAGGACGGGTACGTGGACACGCTGTCCGCAGCCTCTCGCACCTGAGCTAAGCGCATAGCAATGCCCATCACATAAATTCCATGGGTGAAACGGCACTTTTCAGCGGTGACATATGCGCGGGCGATCCAACCAAAATTATCTCCCAAACCCCTGTAGCGCCTCAAACAAGCTAGGTGTTTTCCGATGCATCGACAGATGCGCCTTTTCCTCCTCGACCTTCAGGAAGCCCAAATACTTGAAGATCATCATGAGGCTCTCCTTTGCAACATTAGGGTGAAGCAAGGAAAGACTCAACTACTTAGCAAGTCTTTGCAAAAAGGAACCATCGAGTTGCGTGGAGATGGCCCCAGCATCAACGGGGCAAAAGGCTCGCCCAGCCTTGGGGCAAACGCCCCAGTGTGCGCGGAGCCCGCCATCATCAGATCAGGAAACTGCGTCGTGCCAGTCCAAGTGGGGGGGGGCCCGGGACTTCGAAAACCCATGGAAAATGAAATACGATGATGGAAGACCCCACAGCTTGCTGAATCGTCTGCATGTTGCCCCCTCAGGGATCCTAGTAGGCATTTCCTTCTGCAACTCCCCCGATTGACAAGGAGGGGAATTGTCAATCAGTGGTCCTCATTGCGTGAATCCATCCTCACTTCGCCTCCTCGAGCATGCGTCACAGCTGCAAATGGAAGAAAAATCCAGCTAGGAAGCCAGCAAGAATGAACTGCGGCAAACGTCGATGCGTTGCACTTCGCGGGTGACCACAACATGTCACGTTGGATTCCTAGGCATCTGTCCACCTATGACCACCCCACAGGCGGTCCTTCTGAACCTCCCCGTCCAAGGCGAAGCGATTGAAGAAGACCTCCGAACTTCATTCCCCACCCCTCACTCGCTGCCTGAAATGGCTCCAGCTCGACTTCCAAGTGGCCACTGATCTTTGGAGAAAAGAGATCCGGACTCTCTGAAAGCCCAGGTCTCCCCTCAACGCCTTCATGCGTGCGAGGTCGTACTCGGCCACATGGTCCCTCACCACGTATCTAGCCTCTGCCTGGCACCCGAGAGCGGTCCCGATTCACCTGAAAAAGGGAGCACTCATTGACAACTTCAAAGGGGCCTCCGTATAGCTATGCACATATGCCAACATAGATATATACATATGAATATACATTTATACTTATACATGTGTGTCTATACGTATACATATTATACATTCTACATCTTATATATCTTATATATCTTAAATCTATATTGTATACATATATGCATATGTAGGATAAATCATATTTTCCGTATATGCCTTTTGCATCTTATACATATTATACCTCTTATATATAGGATACATCGCATTTGCCGTATATGTCTGATACATCTTCTGCACCTTGCATGACACATATATATATGTGTGTGTGTGTATATATAGAGAGAGAGATGTACATGAATCTAGTATATTTCTACATCTTGTATATCTTATCAGAATGTATATATATATGTATATATATATATATATGTATAATCAACCATTCATTTGTCCATTCATTTACGTGACTGTGGGAGGTTCGCCCCGCACCCGCAAGGGTCGGCCTCGGCCACGGAGGCCATAAGCTCCGCATGGGGCACCTCCAGTGGATAGCCCATGGGCTCGCTGCCCAGGCCTCGGAGCGTTGTCCAGGGCGTTTCCCTGAAAAAAAACACATCCCAAACGGGGTACCTTCAACAAGCCAAACATATGCGACATACATATATATATATATATATGTATGTGTGTGTGATATACCTTCAAACAAAAAATGTAACACATACATCTATATATGCATAGAGAGAGAGAGAGAGAAAGAGATGTATACGCGCACAAAAAAAGATGTGGGTATGCGACATTCCTTTAGATCCATACGCCCAGGTTTGAGGGTCCAACTGCAAACACGGACCCTGGACTGGACGGGTCCTTGCGGAGCCTGATTCTTGGAAATTCCATCCAAGGGACCGCCGATCCGCAGTGTGTGCGTCTTGGGCAGCGCAATGCTGTTGCCCCGGTGCCTGGCAACATCGATATGCGCTGGGGTCCCCAAATCTGACCCTCGAATTGGCGGGTTCCGAGGACGCCGTGATCTCCTGGCAGGATCTTTGACTCATTTGGGGTTCCCATATCGGCCAGGCACCACCCAAGCAGAGTTCAACTAAAGTGGACACCCAACAGGTGCTACCAAAGGCCTCGCACGGGTCGTAGCCAAACTGTAGATAGCATCAACAAACAAGGAACAATAGCTAAAACTCAAACCATGTGAAGAACAATTATCTGAGCCCAGGATCAAAACCGAGCATCATAACAAAAGCAAAGGCAACAAAGGAGCCTCCCCAAAACAATGTGAAGAATCCAGTTGCCTCAAGCCAACCGCGCTTGCGCCCCCAAGCCTGCATTTTTTCCAAATCGGCTTCGGTGGAGGCTCTCTCTCTCTCTCTCTTTCTCTCTCTCTGCCTCTTCTCTCACTTTTGACCCAGCGGGCTAGGGGAAGACCAGCGCCCCAAGTTTCTTAGAGATGGAGAGGGCGAAAGAGACAAGAGAGAGAGAGAGAGGGTGTAAGAAAGAAAGAAAGAAAGAAAGAAAGAAAGAAAAATTGAAAGAGAGAGAGAGAGAGAGCGCGAGAGCGAGAGCGAGAGAGAGAACTGAGAAAATCCAGGCTCGACAGCTATGTTTCCCGGCAATTTGCCGCGATTTGTGTTTTTGTACTGGATGTGGTTGGTTGACATGCAGCATTTAGGCTGCCCAAGTCAAACCTCAGTCAGCCTCACTGCGGCGCCTGTTCTTCCTCCGAGATGGGGAGCCAAGGCTGTCGTCAGTCATGGTGCGGCTCATGTCCATCATCAGCAGGTCCTTCCCGCAAAATGCTGCTGCCTCGAAGTGAAAGTCTGAGAAGCAGTGATGGATTGGCTGCTCTTCAAGTTTCGACCTGCAAACGTCTCAGGCGAAGAAATAAAGTATTTTTTGTTTTTGCAAACACGTTTCGGTGAGGGTGGAGTTTTGGGCGGGCGCGTCAAAAGACGACCCAGGGGAAAACTTGCGGAGCTGGCGGCGTTCGCTATCGTCTTGCAAGGCCGAGCTTTCGGGACGATTGCTGTCCGCCAGTGCCGTTGGGAGGCAAACAAACAAACCTTCATGAGCCACTCAGGGAGCCACGGTGACAATAGTTGGCTTTTATCCCATACACTCATTTGTTGATCGAACATATCGGTCGGTATGCGTCAAAATTCCCCTCCCCCCCGAAAGAGGAAAAAAACAAGAAACAGAGATGCGGCTTCGGTTTAGGCGTCCCTTCAGATCAAACTGAGTTGAGACCCTCAAAACAACACACACCCAGTAAACCTGCGTGTCTGGATTTGGTCCTTCTGGTCATCCACCGTCTGGATGGTGAGGCCGGGCACATCATCGTCCTCGTCTCCGTTTTCCCCAACCTGTTGGTTTTACACCGTTCCCCAACCTGTTGGTTTGACACAATTTTCACCTTTGGTGTATCTTAAAAACAGTTGATGATCGAAAAGACCTTTCCCTGAAACTGCGTTTTTTGAAGTGATCACTTCTGCTTCCTCTGAGGGGTTCAACGGCAGTTTGCCTTTTTCAACTCGTAGCAATTGTCCGTAAGCCCCGCCTCAAAGAACAATGTCGCTCTAAAATCTAGAGGTGTGTTGCCGCGATCATCACAAACAATAACCATGTTGAGCTTTGGGCGCCGTGTGGTCGGTGTGCAACTAGCCCTGGGGAACTGACAGGAACCGCTCCAAAACCCAGCCTTTGCAACAACTACACCGGAAACCCCATTTAGCAACTCCATGGAACCAACCTCCCGGAAGCCTCTACAAAATTGCCCGGCAGTTCCATGAAACCCCACTAGCTCCGACCCCTCCAGGAGCTTATCAGGCAATACGAAAAGAAGGGCCGCACGGAGCGGCCATTGGCTAAGACCCCACCCAGCTCCCCAGCCTGCCGCAGAGCCTCCCGGACACCTCGGGAGAAATCCGCTCAAACTTCGCCGGCGAAGGCTTCATCCGTCTTCTTTGGGCTGGCTTTGCACGGCTCGCGCTACATTCTATGGTTCTCTCCTTGCCTTCTCTTGGAAGAGTTGGAACCTGCGTTCACAGGGAGAAGCAAGAGGAAAACGCGCGGGGAACAAGCACGACCCAGAAAGGAGGAACAAGAGAACCGACCAAGAGGTAGAAGCTATCACCGATGGAACTAGTTGTGCAGAATAGTTGTTATTGCCACCCTAGAAGCGCCAACGGCACCTTTGACAGCAAGAGCCATGCAATAAAGCCACGCAACACACGTGGATGTTGCAACTCCCGACCTGGAACGCAACGAAGGCCCTTGGACCGGTTTCCTCCGTTTCTCCGATGGGGCGCAACGTCTTTCATACTCAAACTAGGCTGCGGCCCCGCACGAGCCTCTGAGACCAAGCAAATCCAGGATCCCAAGCCCTAAGCCAATCCCACCAATCCAAGGATTCCAGGTCGACCGCAAAACACAAAGAAACAAACCGTTTCCCCTGCCCCGGAGTCGCCTCTTCCACCTGAGAGCTGCCACTCCACTTTGAACTCCTTAGCTGGAAATCATGGCCGGACCGTGCGTAGCCTTCGTCTGGGCAGATGTCCGCCCTTTTTGATTCTCGTTGTGGAAAAGCTTGGCTTTGGCCATTTTGTCTGATACAAAGGAAAACTCTTCGCCCCATGGAAGCCTGATCTCATCCAAATCTCTCTTGGCAACCATGATTGGACAACCATCACTCCCTCCTCTGAACACATTTTCATTTTTCCGCCTCGAGGCGGGATAAAGTTCGTGTGGTGGTTGCTTCGGGTTGATCTTTTGCCTGCTTACCTTGACGCTTTGATGCTTGCTTTGCTGGTTGGGTTGGGTGCCGCGAAAGCAACTTCCCATGCGTGCCAAGCTGTGACTTTCCCTATGCGCTCTGATCATGGTGCCCCCTGGTTTTTTTTGGGACACTTCCCGGAAATCCCCGCCCCAGTAAGGCCGAGGTGTCTTCCCCCAAGGCCTCTCCAGTTGGGAGTTGGGACTGATTGCGGCTCATATCCTCTGTTCCCTTGAAGCCTTGTACCTACGTTTTCTGGGTGCCCCAAGCTAAACGCCCTCTCCCTCCCCGCAACAGGCATGGGTCCAAAGGAAGGACGCTTGGGGAAAAGAAAAAAGGAGTTGCCACACAGAAATCGCACTCTCTCTCTTTCTGTCTCTGTCTCTCTGCCGTTGCATCCAAAAGGTCCCACTTCGTGAGGCAACGCATGCAGGCCTCTGCCATATTGACAGTGGCCCAAGGACCAAATCGCACTGGTTAACACCGGCTACCAGTCATCATAAGCAAGTGGGCAGTGATCAAAACGAACCCAAGCACTGCGTCCCTCTGACGTATCGAGGCACTGGTGACCTGAGATTTTCCAGGTAGAGCCAAGCGTAGGGCTGCGAGGCCTTCTTGTGGAAGCTACGCCTCGGTCCGTGGATGGGGGATGCCATCGGCTCCAAAAGGAACTGGATTTTGCAAAAGAGAAAACCTGTGAGGTCATCCGGACTTGCCAAGCACCCGACCCGCAAACCAAAGGGCTTCAGCGACTTGAAAAACAACTCACGATTTCAGCCAAGCACCTTGGGGAAGATGGGGTCGCCAGTCACAATTCTAAAACGGTGAAAGAGGCCCACTGCGGTCAAGGTGCTGCAGGTCCCTCACTTGGCACAGGGAGGGCTGGCTGGCGCTGGCGTTCATGCAGCGCGGGGACCAGGGCCAGCACAGCAGCGGGTCCCTGGAAACGGCAGTTGCTGGCGCCCCTCGTCCTTCCAACAGATCGGGAACCCAAAAGCCCAAGGGTGGTAAACCCTTTTTCCGACGGAAGTGGACAGGCATATTTGAGAAGGTTCCTGCTGCCAAAAGCCTGCCCTGTCTCTACTGATCGTCGGTTGGGAGGCTACCATGTTCTCAAAAGCTTACGGGGTGAAGAGCCAAGCCAATGAAAACCCTGGGATGAAAACCAGAACCTGCCAAAGACCCGACGTTCACTTTCGGATTGCACCAAGGGCGCTCTGAGTGACCCGCCGCACCCAAAGCGTTCCAAGACAATCGATTCTGCCGGACAAAGGCCGAGTCAAAAACTACAGCTCTTCGGCCTGGCTGGCAACGCACGCCTACAGTACACATCGTTTCGTACCTGAATTTGCGTTCCAGGGCCATTGGCACACAAGGTCCACCTGTTCCGTGTGCACGGACGGGGCAACGGCTATGTGGGATGGCTGCCTTTTTAGCTGCAGAGTCTAATCCATTTGAAGCCGAAACAAACACAGAACTTGTCTTGAAGGCCCCTTTCTTCCAGTGCCATGCTGCATGAAACATGGCCTTCTAAGGCCGTGTGGTACATCGGCTCACTTCCTGAGAGGATTGTTAGAGTCTGAACTGGTTTACCGCTAAAATTGTGTAGGTTCTTAGGGAACCCCCCCCGTAGCAACAACATTGTGCTGTTCCTTCTGTTTCCCAGAAGGGGAAGGGGGAAGAGAAAAAAAAAAAAAAGGATGGAGTTGGCGGACCACGTGCCGCGTAAGCGCCTGATCTCCCATCGGCTGGCAGACTGCAGCTTGGGGGTCCTCGCTCGGCGAGCTGAGGAAAAGTTGCACATGCAGGCTGCAAGGAGCGCGGTTCACATCATGATTGCACACCTCTGCGAAATTCTCCTCTACTGACACCCCCTGCACTGCAAACAAATCTGGGGCAGCCCCCTCCGGCGGCATGCGTTTAAACCCCACAATGTGGCAGTGCTTCGAGAACAGCTCCCAGAAAATGCAGGCTTCTCATGGAATGCTCGCCACGGATTACAAGCCTTGCGGACAAAGGGGATGGGGAGTCTCAAAAGATCCTCTTCCATGAAACGCTCCCCCATCAACGCAAAGGGTTTAATTATAGAATTTGGAACTACCCGCAAGTCCTGCAGGCATCAGTCCACGCTGATGCATCAGTCCATGCTGATGGAGAGGAGGAAACCTCCGAGCATGAAGTTTAGGATGTCTGTTCCCTTGATGCCATGACCCTATCCCAATTCGCACAAACTTGCTGCCCGTCTTCCGCCCCGGCGCAGGGCTTCATGCCCAATCCCCCTAAACACGTCAAAGTTGGGCCGGTTGCTCGTAAAACACCCCCCCCAATTCGCATATGTTTGATCCTCCCCCCGATTCCCTGGCGCTCGGCTCATTTCACCGGGCTCATTCCAGCGCCACCCCAAAGCGGCTGCAGGCGCTGCGGGCCAGCTTCTCTGCCAAACCTGGGACTCCCACGCGTCTCGCTCGCTCGCTCCAACCCCTTGCTTGAAGGAACACTTGGCATTCAGCACAACTCGAGTGGCCAACATTTTACCATGTACGTGCACGTGCGTGACAACCGGCTCGAAATCAATGGCATGAAATGACCCTGGGTGGAATGATTGGACTGGGCGCTGCTTCCCTATATGATTCTATGATCTATATTCGCCATCTTTGTTGATGCCCCCCCCTGGCATACCATCCCCCGCTCCACCTCTCGTGCCGCCCTTGTTCCAAAGCACGGAGGGCAAAGAGCTGGCCCTGCAGCTGCCCCACCGCGATGCGCTTCATCTCCCCGACCTTCATCGGCACCTCCGGGAACCTCGGCGTATCCATGAAGAGTGGCCCTGGCAAAAAACCGGGCAGCCGTTTGGTTCAGCCCATTGCGGGCACCCGACCCCACCGCCCCCCGACTTAGCTGACCGGTCCGACAAGGCGCTGGCGGATGATGATGGCCTCGATGTTTTGCCGCAAGGCCGCCACGAAGTCAGTCATCTCCGCAAGGTCCTGGCTGCCGCTGCCACATTTGCAGCGCTGAAAGACCGCGCGTCTCTTTTTTTTGTTTGCTTGCGGAAAGTCCCGAGGTAGGAAATCTTGCGACGCCTTGCCCGGCATGCAAACACCCCCGCACCAGGCTTAGGCGCACCTGCAAGGTGAACACCTCTACCTATAGAATGCCACCAAGGCCTGCGAACCCAGATCCTCAGAAACAGAACCTAGCGGAGAAAATTGGGCAATGCCCGGCAAGGGCCGGAGAATAGCAACCCCCCTTAGCTCCTTTAGGAATTGCCAGTGTGGGTCTGATATTTAATGCGGGGCCCATTAGTGGACAGCATTTAGGGTGGGTAGGAATTGATGTCCACCTCCCGCTTTTGATGAGTGAAATTCATGGCCTGGGACAACCCCATCCCTCGTGCCTTCTCGCCGGCCTTGCCACCCATCTGCTTGCACAGCTCCTGTGCCTCCTGCGTGGAGTTCCCTGCCCCTCCCCCATGATGTAACGATGCAAAAGGAGTCCAACAACCCAACTTTCCACAAGGAGTCCAACAACCCAATTTTCCACAAGCATGGCGTCCAGCCTTTTGAATAAGGGCTTCCAACCTTCGCCTTCTGTCGCAAACCGCTAAAGTGGTGGGGATTAGGTTCCCAATTCCGTTTCCTCCAGTCTCGGAAGCTCTCCTGCCCAGATTCAGGGTTCTCTCAGAATAGCCCCCCAAAAACACCAACACATTTGCATGTTCCCTTTTCATGTCCCTCCGTCATGGCAACTCCATTTCCCGCGGCCTCGCGGTCGGAGGAGATGGTCCTCACCACGGTGGAGGCTTGGCCCTGGGCCACGAACTGCTCGTAGGTGTCCCGGTCCTCCGGCACCCGGTAGGCCGTGGCGTAGTAGTAGACCTGCGATGGCCGGCGGCCGCCGGGGCCGGGGCCGCTGGCCCAGTGGCCCGAAATCGTGTGGGATTCCGGGGGGAAGGGCGGTAATGATGCTGAACTTCAGGAAGCGCAACTTTCGTCTGGGAGATGTGGAGGGCTTATAGACAGAAGCAATGTTTGACTGGCAAGAAGCCGTGCCACAAGCGCCATGGTCATAACTCTTCACACGGGCCATGCTCACGAGTCCCTTAAAAATCCTTGCAATGGACACCGAAACCTCCCGCATTGAGAGCGGCTGACCATCCCTACCAACTTCCATGCCACGCATGTGGCCGTGAGTGCTGGAGGCCTGCGTCTGGCCATGGGGTGTCTCAAAACTGGGGAACCTCAATGCAGGAACCTCTGATTTTGATTTGTTCCTGAAAGTGCTAGGCCATTGGAGCTCAGGCTCCCCGGATGAATTTCGCCAGGATGCCCAGTGCTCAGCCTTGTCCGTGGGGATGTACATGGCCTTGCCGCCCTCAGGATCGAGAGCAAGGCTTGCACCAACAGGCCTGAACCCCGCAAGGCCTGCGCACCAAAGACTCCAAGACCTGAAGGATGTGAATCCCTGGCTTTGCCACAAAAACAGCGGAGGCCGCGAGATCCACTGCATCAGCACCTATTGATCCTGGCTTGTCACCAGCTCCACACGTCTTCCGTCAAGCCTCTGGACCCCTCCTTACCCTCCGCCCTCTTTCCGCCAAGCCACCTCGTAGTACTCCTGCAGAAAGCGTGTGAATCGGAGGTCGCAGAAGGGATGCCGCAGCGTCTCCTCGTTGCACATCTCCAGGAAGACCCCCAGACTCTCGCAGGGGCACGCGAAGTCAAAGAACTCCTCCTGAAGGTCCGTCCCACAAGCCAGCCCTCTCTTCTTTTACCTTGTTCCCTTGTGGTGGAGGGGAGGAGGGGAGGGGGGCCCCGTCTGAACGCACGCCCATGATTTGATGGCAAAATATCCAGCCCATGGCCGACCGGCTCAACATTCCAGATTTTCAGAAGGCAGTTGCAGCAGTTGAGAGCTTGCTGGCTTGCTAGCTCCTCCTGATGCACCCCGCCGCAGATCACTGCATCACCCGACTTCAGGTGTTTCCCCACCTCCTGCTGTGTCGCCGCCACCTTCCTCGGCTAGCATAACTTGCGCTCAGAGGGATTGACTGGCTCCAAACAGAACGGCCGCCGCAAATCATTCCAAAAAAGAATCGGACACCTGCTAGCTGGCCCAGAATGATTTGCTGGCAGCTAGCAGCTGGCCCAGGCAGTATCTATTTAAATGGTGGTCAAAGCCGCTTAACATTCCAAGTGAACAATGACTGTGGGCAAAATAAGTTTACGCTACTTGGTGAGTGGTGGACGTGACTGGGAAAGCACATTTTTCAGCACGAATCAAAAGAAAAGAACACTTGCGGCCAGACAAAACTTCATAAGATTAGCGCACGCAGGCACGTGCACTCGCAGACACGCATGCACATGAATAGGCATTCGCATCTCGATATGCTTGTATATTGAGGACTCGTGCGCAAGAACATGTAAAGCTGGCAATTCATAGACAAACAGGCAGGCAGGCAGGCAGGCGGCAAGGACAGGCAAGGCAAGGCAAGGAAGGCAAGGCAAGGCAAGGCAAGGCAAACGAAAACACACCGCCTAAGGTACATCTATGTGAATGGGTTCTCTGAATGCACACGTGTTCTTGTCCCAAGGCCCTGGCCAGAAATTCGGGTCCAAATGCGAAAAGCCAAAAGGAAGCTACACATGTTTCGTTTGGGAAATCAAGTTGGACACCCAAGAGGGTCTTGGCATGGCTTCATCGGTTTTCCCTTCGGAGCGCGCTCGAACTTGGGCGCTCTGCGTCCGAGGCGCCTGCGGTCCTTGGGCCGCACCTTGTGGGTGGCGCACACGGCGGTGACCCCGGACTTGCGCGCGTGCTGGTCGATGACCTCGCTGTGGGACGGAGTTACGAGTTGAGATACACATGTGATGTGTCATGGGTGTCTCTGGTTTTGAGGTCTCTGGTTTTGAGGGTACCCCCTGTTTTTGGCGGTGTTAAGGGGGGGAAGAACAAGCACCCAAATGGCACATGACCCCCCAATCATGGCAAACTGTTCCTTGGGAAACCCCCACGTCGGGAACCCTCACGTCCACTTCCATGATTGGAGGGAGGGTAAGGTTGAACAGCCCAAAGCAAATGCTTGTTGCTCTGCGTGGCTCTTCGTGCCCAACAGAATTTGAGTCTGACCAACGGCCTAAGCCCATGATTTGGTGCTCAAGGATCGCCAAAGTGACTCCGGTCACATCTACATGGCCGGCAAAAACGAGCGCGGAAATCTGACAGAGCGGCACTGTAGTAAATCGGCACCCGGGCAGGGCCCCACAAGTCGTCGTCGTCCGAAAAGAGAAGCCTGGGAAGAAGCACGTGGATACCGATTCATCTCTCAAAATTGAACAATGGACATGTTTTGGAAAATAGCCTCATCCATTGGCTGTTGACCATAGGCAATTGACCAATTGATCCCCAAAATGGTTGGCTTGGAAAGCCTTCCAGACTCCAAGGAACGGACCTATCGCAGCGCTCGACCCCGGGCCCCGCGGGCCCCGCGGGCCCCGGAACCGGGATGGTGCCAAGCCACCAGGTTCCGGCCGGCTCTTTGGCCAAAACCTCACGAAAGAGCACCCGCAGGTCCTCGGGACTCAGACGCGACACGGCTAAGGCAAAGCGCGTGGAATTCCCATGTGGTACTTGGTCGCTTCAAGCATAATCCAAAACATGGAATGCTGCCAGACACAAGAAAGCTGCAAACCCATCCCAAGCCCTAAGCTGCGGAAAAACGATGAGGCCAACAAAGCATGACACACCTCCCCACGCCAAACAAAGACAAAAAAACACTTGATGCAAAGCCAAGAAATGACTGACATGAGGTTGCGTCTGCTCCTTGCCGGGGCGCGTAGAACTGGGAGCCCCGCTCGGTTTGGCGCAGCCACCGCACCGGGCGCGGGGCCAGCGCCGCCCTCAGCGCCTCCAGCGCCTTCTCCGCCGCCGAGGCCAGGGCCTCCGAGCCCGCGGAGAAGACCGCGAAGAAGGCGGCCAGGCCCGGGCCCAAGCCCGGGCCCCTCGGTCTTTCTCGGTCTCCTTTCCTTCCTTGTGTTGCATCTTGGGAGGCTGGGAAAGAAGCACTCTTAAAGCAAATGTGGCGCCTGCCTTGTTTTGCTCGGCAATTGTGTTGGATGGATTGCTTGGCATGTTGGCCATTTGATGAGTGTGTGTGTGTGCTGTAAGTAAGGAAATTGAAAGGCAACAAGCTCAAAAGGAGGCTGTGAGAAATATACAGCCATGAGATGCGCCATGGCAAAAGCCAGAGCAAGGGAGCCGGGCTCTGAATGATTGATTGCAATTCGGGCGCAAATTAAAATTGCCGAGGGCTCAGAAAGCACCAAGACGCAAGACCCCCCCAAAAAAAAACAAAAAACGCAGCACCTAGGGAGTGAGCTCAACTGGCTGTGAACCCGACCAACGACTTCACTCCGAGGCGCTGCGCGGCCGAGGCCAGGCAGTTCTGCAGTCTGCGCAGGCGCTGCTCGTCGCCCACGTGGCTGGACAGCACCCCACAGACCCGCAGCTCGGCTGACAGCGGCGGCGGCAACGACTTGGGCGCCATGGCGAGGCGCAGAAAGCCAAGGGGCGTAGCGCCCAAATGCCGACCGGTTGATCAATTCAGGGGCTCAACGAAAGAGCATGTGGCTCGAAACGCTTGAAGAGAGCTAGCACTTTCTGGGAACAGCTCAGAAGTTCCGATTCTCAAGGATTTCCGCTTGGTTGGCCACCATGCTCGTGTGTTTCCTGTCTTGGCGGGCTTGCTTCGTTGGCCCTTTCGTTTGACAAACCACACATGTAGGGATGGCTTTTGGGCAAGCGCATGCTGCTTCCTCATGCAGCTTGGCATGGCACAGCTTGCAGGGAGCACTGCATCAGAAGTGCGGACCCACACCTCTGCTATCCCAAGATCTACTCTATCTTTGAAGGGGTTGGCCTTGAGTTTTCACCAAAAGTGGGAACCTGAAACCGACACCTTCCCACAACCATGGCTCCCGGTCGAGACACAGAATCTGGGAAAAGCAGTGGAAAGGACACGAGAATGCTCAGGGTGGAACTTGTGACTCTCTCACCCCTGCAACCCTGTGCCTCTTAGAAACCAAGTTGCACAGCCCCGAAAACTCCAATACCACCAAAAAAGGCTGGCCACACTTGTCCACCATCCCTACCCAACCCCTCACAAGTTGCCCACACCATCCACCCCTCCAACCCCACCCCCTGGCCTGGCTGCCTTTGCTCCGTGAACGGAGGTCGCAGGGTCTCACCTTCACCTCGCGAAAAACTGGCCGGGGAACTTAGCGGCGGATCCTCGAAACGGGCGAACGGGATCCTGGTGGTGGTTTGCAACCGAGTTGTTGGGGTACTCTGTTTTATGGTTTACTGTTGTTGCGGATGTTTATTTGTCTGGTTGACGTGTGACTTTCCTTTGGGGGGTGGGAGCTCAACATCTGACCAACCCCCGGCCAAACAGGAACGTCGGGGACAAAGACACGTGTGCCAAGGAGCTCTTGTGAAAAAAAGCTCAGGATTCCCGCTTGGCCACTGGTGGCATTCTGAGCCACCCGACACAATCAAGAACCCCGATAGGATTCGGACACCGCGAATGGAGCGCCGCTTCGTCCCAAGCTCCAAACATGCGGCATGACTCCACAACTGTTTGCACCGATTTCCTCGGAGAAACTCTTCAAGTCCTGGTATTACTGTGCACCGCTGACCAGGCAACCCACAAAGACAAAGCTTTCCCCTATAAAAAAAACAAAATTCAAACTAATGCAAATGCCGTCTAAGCAGGCGTGGCGTCCGAAACGTGGCCTCCCGCGCCTTCTCCACTCTCGCCTGGCCCTTGCTGCGCGAACGGGCCTGGCCCTGAGCAGAGAGATGGGGGCAGGAACCTGTGCGTTTGACACAATTCCTCCCCTCCCGTGCCTTCACCGCATACGGTGAGTTGGGGTCGCTGAGCTGGCGTTTGATGCTGATTCCTCAGACCCCATCCCACCTTGCAATAGTTCCCGTGTGGATTGGCCCGGGATGCCATGTTGCCCGTGGAGACAACCAAGCCCAAAAGAAATACTTCGCTTCGAGCAATCCCCACCCTCCACACTCACGAGCTTACAACCGTGAACATTCACAACCCAAAGCAACACAAAAGCATCACCCTTTCCGAGCCTCAGCGTGCGCTCAAACATGAGGGCACCAACATGAAATGTAAACCCAACTGTGCGCCGGGCGGGACATTACTCATTAAGCAAAAACCAGACTGGCAAGCTGCTCTGGCGGGATACTGGCGGGATCCACTGGCGAATACTGGCAAGCCGCTCCAACTTGATGCTGGCCGGAAACTCGGCAGGATTCACCGGCAAGGGCTCAGCCGGATACTCGGCGGGATCCACTGGCGAGCTACTTGGCTCTGGTGGGATACTCGGCGGGATTCACTGGCGAGCTACGCTGGCGGGATACTCGGCTGGATCCACTGGCGAGCTACTCTGGGATACTCAGCGGGATACTCGGCGGGATCCAGTGGGCTACTTGGTGGGATTCACTGGCGAGCCGCTCTAGCGGGATACTCGGCGGGTCCACTGGCGAGCCGCTCTAGCGGGATACTGAGCTGAGGCTCGCCAGTGGATCCCGCTGAGTGAGCAGCTCGCCAGTGCAGCTCTGGCGGGATACTCGGTGGGTTTGACTGGCGAGCTGCTCTGGCGGGATACTGGGTGGGGGCGTGGTGTAGCAGCAGCGCAAACGCGGATTCCAACATAGAATCTAACAACCCCTTCTTGTCGGGTGGGGAAGAAGCAGGGCGGACCTCCCCCGATATGTGGTCTGAAGAGGCAACCCAACATGAAGTCTGAGGCCCGCGGTGTCACGTCACCACATGCCCCGAAACAAATACGCCAAGCACCAGCCATGTACAACGCTCACCAAATACCCACATAGATGTGTGAGAGGCATGCGCCTCAAAGCACGTCCACTCCATGGTTTGCCGAGCCACAAGGAGCATTGCTCTACTGACACAGGCCTTACTAACTTGACTTCACTTGAGGCCCGCAGTCGCAAGCCGTCGCCCCTTCCCCGGAGCCTCCGGGCCCTCGCCGATCACCAAGGCGCCGTGCGGCTTCCGCGGCCGCCCCGCAGACGCGCTGCGCAGGGACGCCATTAGGCGGCCCCATGCGCGCTAGGAGCCACGGAGCCGAAGGAGCCGTGCGAGGTGCGCGAGGATTCGGTGCAAGAACTGGCATGGAGAGTCAATGGAGCAAGTCACTTTGCAAGCAGCGGTCTGTTGAACAACCTCGCTTGATTGCATACCTTGCCTTTTGGAAATCGCAACGGTGATGCCGAACTTACATGATGGTGCTGGGATGCCTGCGCATCTTACTGCTTTTTCTTGCAAGTGGCAACCACCCAGTTGTAGGCACGTCGCGGCTCGTGAACAAACGTACCACAAAGTCGTAATGGCCGCCTGAAATGCAGAAGTGTTTTGCAAGAACCTTGCGAAGCGGCGCAAGGTGGCGAGGAACAAGGTGTGCGTGGATGAGCCAATTTCTTTTTAGCCCAAAAAGCTTCAAGATCGGTTCCTTGAGGGATCCCTGAAACAGAAACAAAAATGATCAAACAACTGCACGCGCGGAAGGGCCTCTGAAATCTTCCTGCGTGAAAGAGGCGGAAAAACACACCGCAAACACGATGCGAGACACAAACATTTGTTTGAGCATTTCCTTACAGAAACACAAAGAGATTCGAGTAAGCCCAAGAGGGAACAGCATTTGGATAAAATGCCTTGACCGCATATCCATAGCCGCGCCGGACGTTTCTCAGGCCCCTTCCCGGACCTGCCAGAAGTTTTTGAGTACCCACCCCTCCAACGTTCACAAACATGTGCCAGCGCTGGCTGCTTGGGTGCTATCAAAACACGTCTGCCACAGTGCCGGCCAAGACTTCTCAAAATACGTTCGGCCAAAGAAACAAGACACAAACAGAATGCAGGCAACACGCTTCACGCAAACCACAAACCAACTTCATGTATTCGTCTTAACGTCATGTTGGCTTGTTGCTTGACTCTTGGCACTAGAGACAACAGCACAAAAACCATACAAACACGAATTTGCACGTCGACAGAACAAGTCATCAAAAAGTACCCTCCTGTGACCCAGCATCACAAGCCGCCCCGGCACACCTTGGCAGCAAACCGCATCCATGGCGAACCCGGCCTGGGCCACCCCAGGAGGTTGGCCTGACTTGCTCAATCAGTCAAACGGAAAATGCGAAATCCTTGGCAAATGGCACGCAACAACTAATCCACTGTTTTTTCACACCGCAGAACAAAACATGTGTCTACAATTTGGCAATAGGTCATGAGCACAATGCCTGATTTTGAGGGTCTGCGTTTGCTCTTTGAGCCAGGCGACACAACTCACGCACTTTGCTTGCGACAAGACAAAAACAACTGTGAAAACCCATCGGTCAGCGATGATTCGTGAAAAGAACCCCACGCTTGCCCACGCACGTCCCTTTACCTCACAGACTTGACCGCGAGACAGTTGAGCGTGGGGAAAAAGTGAGGAGAATGGCCAACCATGGAAGAGTTCAGGAAGGCACAGCCAGCATCAGGATATCCGATCAAACTTCCAATTGGATTGCTCAGGGCATATGACAATCCTGAGGTCATCCAGGCATTTGCTGACATCCTGGGATCGCTGATGCAGCCAACTGACCGCCCTCCTGTGGACCATCTCAAGGAACCGGAGTTCACCTCATCCATGACGATCAACATCCTCACCATGAACCACGGAAACCTTACGAGGAATCCAAAGCTGGACAACAAGGAGGTGAATAACGTGGCGTGAAGGATCGACCAATCATGAGGATGATGATGCAGAACAGCGCGCACTTCATATGCTTAAATGAAGCAGACGCAATCTTCAGTCCTCAAGATGAGAAATCCAAGGAACTCATCAAGACGTTCATCAGGTTTGGATACAAGGGCATAATTATCAAGCAACGGTCATCCAGACCAATCGCATGCTTTGTCCGCGGCGGACCTTCCGCAAGAGTGGAACTATTGGCACGACACATTTCCACAAGGAGTCAAAACTGGGGAACCACACTCGGTATGTTCAGATGCTTCTTCGGAACCGAGAACCATTGCACTGATGCCGAGTACGACATCCCGACCTCTGACTGCCTGGCAACCACAGGAACATCCCTGTTCAAGGAATCCAAGAAATACATTGGACCGAGGTTGCCGTCACGCACAACTGTCCAAGGACATGGGCGCAATAAGGAAATTGTCGTCATCCACATCAAGCAGAATGATGAATTTCGTGGCGTGTTTCCAAAGTCATCCAATGACTCACTCCTCGAATTCGACAGCCGCCATGTGACGAGGGCAGAACTCGCGTGAGCTAGCATTGGAGTTTTTCACATCCATCCAGCAATCAGCTATGGAGCAGCACGGGACGATTTTCTAACCGAAATCATGCGCTCGTGACATTATATAAATGCGATGCGATCACCGGAGACGCCAACAAGTCCGCGAACACCTACAGCAAGCACCAACGTGTCTACAATCCG